GAGTTTGAATTCAGGGCTTCACACTTGCGAAGCAGCCATTCTACTGCCTCAGCCACACCTCCAATCCATTTTGCTTTGGTTATTTTGAAGATGGGGGGCTCTCGAAAACTATTTCCCCCAGCTGGCCTCAAACTGTGATTTTTCCCAATCTCAACCTCCCAAGTAGCAAGAATTACAGGTGTGAGCCACTAACTCCAGGCAGTACCTCTTTTTGTAATCTAAAAAAAGAAGAAAAATATGTATGGGATATGATGCCTTTTTTTGCTGGAATACTTTGATGACATGGTATGACATATCAAGGACATCCAGGTATCTTGGCAGGTGGTCTGATCTGGAATGAGACCTTCAATACTTAAATATAAGACATTGTTTCACATCTATTGGATACCATACTGTTAAGACATTAAATGCAATGTAAATTGAAGCGATTTGCTTTATTATTCAGAGATGGAAGCAGTTAATTAGACCAAGAGAAAGAAACTAGGTTGGTATCGGTGATCCTTCCCTGTTCTTTCTCACTTGTGTACAACCTTGGGCAAAAGATCTAATCCTTCCTAAACTTGGTCTGATTAGGTTCTTTAGTGTGGAAATGAGTAATGGGGACGGGTGGGCAGGCACTGTCATGGGAACAAGGAAAAGTGGAACAACAGGCCTCTGAAGAGCAGGAACTGAAAGGTGCTTTTGACCCCGGGGCCGCCCAGGGCCTCTGCTTCTCCCTGCCCAGTTGCCTCCTTGTCTCCTCCATGGCTTCCTTTTCCTCAGCAGTGCTCAAACTGTACTGCTCCAAGCAAAGTTTTGTTTGAAAAATGGGTTCTCTTGCTGGGGAAAAATGGTTTGAGCCAGTGCCATCCTGTTGCATAAGTTCTGCTTGCTCATAGCTCTAGCCCCTCCTAACATGGGCCAGCACCCCTCTCTTGCTGCATCAGGAGTGGCAGGGAAATGATGAAGCAGGCCGGGAACAAGAGAAGCAGGGAGTGGCTGTGATTGTGGCAAGCTGGAAACTGTGTGTCCTTTCTAAAAGACAGAAAAGCATTGCAGACTTGGCCAATTGTGGTCCTGCAGGCCTGCAGCAAGAACCAAGCCAAGGCTTCCAGATTTTTCAAGGCAAGCTGACAATCCGTATTTTTTACATGAAGTTTCTATTTTTTTTTTTTTACTTAACTTTGTTAAGTAATTTAAAAAAATATTAATTGAGTTCAAATAATATACATCTAACTGGCCCATCGGCAGCAAATCTGCAGCTTCTAGAATCTTTCAGCTTTGTTCTGTCTCTCTCTCTCTCTCTCTCTCTCTCTCTCTCTCTCAATCTCTCTGTATGTTCACATTCCTGAAATGAAACCTGATTTACTCAGTGCACCTTTTGGGACAAATCTATAGATTGGTTGAATCTAGGTCAGGAGCTCTCCTTTAGTCTTAAAAGGCAGCCTCAGAGAGTTACCCTTTCAGCAGGAGCCTTGACTGAGCCAGATTCCATTTCAGAGGCTGGACATGGCAAACTATATACCCAAATATATAATGAAGACCTGGGAATTTCCACCTCTATAAATGCATGTTCAAATAGAATGATCTGTATTGTTTTCTCTTAACAAGAAAAGGCAATGCCCCATGGACATTTAGTTAAAAAATTCATTAATATTTAGGAAGTAGCAAGTATAATAACATTGGCTCTGATTTACACCAGAATATTGGTTTCTCATTTAATGGGAATTATGTTTACAAAATTAGCAACTCTTAAGATTAGGTGTGGTGGAGCACAGCTGTAATCCCAGCTACTCCAGAGGATCTGGATCTGGGTCAGAGGTTGGCCTGGGCAAAGTTAGTGTGAGATCTTATGTGAAAAACAAACTAAAACTGAAAAGGCTAGGGGTATGCCTCAAGTGGTACAGAGTAAAGATTTTAACCTCATTAAAACTCCCTTCAAGTTGTTGAATACTTCTATGGTGTCTCCATGGAGCTGGCCTCCTCCTCCATGTGAGCACTTGCCCATCATTCATCATTGTGATGAATATATATATTTTTTAGTGCACAATGCCCCACTCACCACAGTATGGAATAAATGTGCTAAATGAACTCATTCGTGGATTCATTGGTCTGGTACTCACTAGGCACCTGATACTGGTCTAGGAACTTGGGCAAGTGAACAAATGAAATCTGCCTTGTAGAGCTGATGGTTCTAGCCTGGAAGTAGGAGGTAGTGAGAGAGAGAGAATAAACTGAGGCGAGAAAAGTAATTTATATAATAGATGCTATTGAAACAAAAGGAGAGTCAAATAAGGAGGGTTGGGAGGAAGGAATGAATTACAACTTTAATTCATTAATTCCTTCTGTAGTCCAGGCTAGCCTGAAACTTGCCATCCTCCTGCCTTCACCTCCCTGGCGCTTGGATTAAAGGCAGACAGAATAGGGAAGGCCTAATTGAACAAGGACTTGAGGAAGAGGAGAGAGAGGTAGCTATGGGGAATGGATGATTTCAGTTCATTCCCTGTGGCCCTATGGCACTAGCTCCCCTTTCCCCTTTCCAGTCCTTCGGGATAATAATAGTAATAATAATAGCTTCCTTCCTTCCTACCAATTCGTTAAGTCTTCATTAACAATCCTAAACACAGCTATTACTTTTATTCCCATTTTCCTATGAGAAAACTGAGGCACAAAGAAGTTAAGCAACTGGGCTAATATCTTGAGGCTAGGAAGAGGAGGGGATGGTGTATAAACCTTGACTTTAACGAGGACCTCCTTCTAATTGCATCCCTGTTCACTGCCCCTCCCTGCAAGCTTTCTTCCCCAGGTTCCAGGGTTATGTGCCCTGTCATAGGTGATTCTTGGGATGAGATTTAAAGGGCCTTCATCAGTCTTGAGTTTCTTCTCAGAATCCTGTAGCTTATTTAATATCCCTGGACAAGTGAGGCACTCAACCTGCTCCCTACCCGCTAGGCAACCCTAACACAAAGGTTTTGTAAGGTCATAGTGACCAAAACAAAATCAAATTATGCTCAGTTTTGACCCAAAAAAGAAACATACATCTTTTTCTTCAGCAAATGTCACTGTGGTTTCAAAGTCTAAGTGTGATGTGACACGGACAGCATTTTAAAAGTATTTCCTGCTCAACCATAGGGTGAAATTATGCAAGCCAATGAATCCTGTAAACAGCTGTATCAAATTCTTAACACCTGACACCCCACAATTTTGAAAACCATTTTACATTGTTTTAAAATTTTTGGATTGGTTGATTTTCTGTGGTTTCAACCCTTCCCCCCTCCCCCAAGAAATCCTCAAATTCATTAAACCTGCAGCCTACAAGAGAATTTGGGACCTTTGAAAGAATTTTGCAAATCAAAGGAAGAGACTTTTATTCTATTTTTATTAATGCACTTTGTCGTTTTAAGGGTCTGGGACCCTTTCCTTTAAAATAAACAACAAAAAACCCCTCCTGGGCTCCAGTCCTGTGCTTGGCCCGGCCCTGCTCCTTTTTAAGGGAGCCATAGAGCCACCTCTTGGCTCCTAGGCAGAGTTTCCTGTCCTGAGGTAAGGGTGGGAGGCAGATGTCATCTTGAGGGAGAGATACAGCGCTGAGCTCTCCTGACCTGCTACATCCTCCCGGGCTTTTTAAGTCAAAGAGCTTGGATTTCCTGAAATTGTCGAAGTGGATGTAAGCTCAGGGGCCCCTGTCCCCTTCTCTCCAGCAGGAAAGACTTGCTGTAGAGAAGGAGGAGTGAGATGCGGTGAAGTGGGGCGGGGGTCGTTGGAGAGAAACTAAAGCGATGTGCACCGGACAGGAAAAGTGCGGGGGGGGGGAGGAGAAGGAGGAGGGGGAGGAGGCGGCCGTAAACTGAGAGAGAAGGGAAACGTGTCACCAGCCCGACTCTGGGAGCTCTGCGCGGGAGAGGACAGACGCTAGACGCGACTCCGCGGAGGACAGAACTGGGAGAGGACGGAGTGGGGAGTGAGGGGGAGGGGGGGAGGACGGTAACCATCCAGGTCGCTCGTTTCTCTCCAGTGAGAAAACTTTCTCGGGAACACCGGAAACTTTCCTGCGGGCGCAGAGTCTGGGACGGAGGCGAGCGGTGGGTGTGAGCGGCTGGGGTGATTCATGCCGGGGACCCCAAAGGAGTGAGTGGGGAAGTCCCGGGTGCGGCCGGAGCACAGGATTGAGAAAGAAATCTCCAGGTATAGTCTGGCGGGGCGCGGGGGTGGAGGCACTGGAGGGTGGGGAAGGCGTCCTATTTGAGGTCTACCGGATGGAGATCCCACACGGTTGAGGATCTCCAGATCCGATGCTGCAGGCGGGCGTAGGGGGTCTGGCTCTTGACCACCAAGTTGTGGGCGGGGAGGCCTCCCTGGGCGCCAGCAGTTTAGGGTGGGCGAGGGACCGCTCTGAGTAGGATAGGGAGATGCTAAACAATCGTGTGACCTAAGATCGAAAAAGAAAGTTTGCTTGTTTGGCTAGTTCTCCCTCGGCCGGAGGGGAAAATCTCGTGCTCAGGAGACTTTACCCCGCCGTCCCCTTTTTTCTTGGACGGAGGCGTGGGAGAGGCGGGCGGGGAGGGCAGCTACTTGGTCCCGCGCGCCGCTGGACGCGCGCTCTGCATTCGGGGCGGGCCGGGGCGCAGCCCCCGGGAGACCTTTCTCGGAGGGCGGCGGGAAGGCCTGGGACAGCCCGCTGCCGCTCGCAGTGTTGCCTTTCCGCTTCATCTTTCGCGCCCGCCCTCGATTTGGCCAGGCTTTCCTCTGCGCGCCTACTGTGCGCGCACCGCGCCTTCTGCGCGCAGGGGGCGCTCTGGACCTCGGGTCCCGCGGCTCGGCTCTTCCTTCCCAGCTCCCCTGCTCAGTGTTCCAGGGACTGTCACCCCGGGTCAGTACAAGCTGTGTACTTACGAATTGTGCTTCAGGAATAGACTTCGGGGTTTGTCCCTAGCAGGCAGCAGGGGTTTCCCCCAGTACTACTCGTTCCCCTCCCGCGATCACATGCTGCCGTCTCTTCCCCTGCAGTGCCGGGAGCCCGCGTTTTGTTTGTCAGCAGTTAGGCGGTAAGTATTTTTAGACGCCACTGCAATCCTGCGGGTGTGTGTGTGTGTGTGTGTGTGTGTGTAAGGTTTTAATTACAGCCGGGCGATGCGCCCCACAAGATGCAAGGCTCACGCTCGGCGGCTCAGATGCACGTCTGCACCAGGAGACCCACATGGCCAAAGCTCTGGGCGGGAGTCTCCGGGCATTCCTGCCCGGTTTGAGTTCCGGCCTGTTGCCCAGGCGGTACGTGCAAATTCAGATGACCCATGATAAGAACCAAAGCAGTACAGGAACAGCCAGGGTTCTTCCCCCCCCAACCCCAGTCCTTATATAGATGAACCTTTGAGACCTCCCTTTTGGACGTCCCTCTGGTGATCGTGACCACCGACGGTTTGCAGTCATGATGTTTCATTGCCCTGCATTCAGTGCTGAGCTCTGGTAAATTGCTCCGGAGATGGAAGGCACTGTTACTGATAGCATGAAGCATGCAAGCCAGTCAGAAGGGGAAATGGAGCTTGCAGAAACCTAGCCACATTTTGAATTTAGCTCTTGACGAGGTTCCTTCTCCACTGAACCTGGCAGGTCGGCTTCTCTCTCTCTTTTTTTTTTTTTTCGCGGTATTGGGTTTGAACTCAGGGTCTCACGCTTGTTAGACAGGTGCTCTACCACTTGAGCCACTCCAGCAATCTTGGTCAGCTTCTCTTGTTGCACTATTGAGCCCGAGAATCCATTTAGGGGGGTGTTCAGAGTGGTTTCTATAGAAGGTAGCCTTGCAGAGCAGGCAGGCAATGCTTGGATAGCTCACAAAGTTGTCTTCACTTTTTCCACCGCAGCCATTGTCATTTTAGAGTTTTATTGATGCTTCTCAGCTGGAACCATTGACGTGAAGGAAGATGTCCAGACTAACTATCCCTTTAGTCTGGCCTGTTTCTCAAAGTGGGACCTCATTTCTTTTAGGACCAGGAGGCCATGGGGGGTATATTTATTGCAATGGGGGTGATATTTATTTCAATGATGTTCTCTGAACATTATGAAATGTTCCTCTGATATTGAAAAAGGGAAACATTAAAGCACTTCTTGAGATCTTATTATGTCAAACTTTGCACGAAGAGGCTGATAGTGTTACAGGATCTTCACTAGAATGTTCACGGAGCTATGATTACATCCCCGCTGAGTGGGTGAGCACACTGAGGCTTGGAGGATATAAGTAATTTGTCTACAGGCCCATACATAGGGATGGAGGTCAGAATGAGTTTCAAATTGTAGGCTGCAGATGTCTTCCCCTTTGATTTCCTGGCTGTCAATTAGATCATCTTATAGTTCATTACATTGGTGTTTCTTTTTAATGTCACAAAGTGACACAATTATTGAAAAAGCCCCTAATCTTGTCTTTAGAAAATTGCCTGAAAACCTCATCCTGACAGTCCTGGCCTAAATATCATAATCTTTGGTTTACTCAGTGACTTCATGTATGTTCAACATTTAAGACATTTATCTGTAGAGGACTGAACTCAGTAAGGCTTCCTGAACCTTCATCTTTTTTTTTTTTCTTCAGATTTCTCTATCCTAGTGAGTCGTGGAAGTGCATGTGGTTATTTCTCTGTGATCATTCCTTTCATACTGCCTTTGTACCAGGTTAAATACACAGAAATTGTTTTTGAATTGCTGCTGTTTTCCTTTTAAATTTTTCATAGAGCTAGACCAATACAGGATTGATTTAAGGAATTGTGTGAGTCTCTCTGAAAGAGCCTGTAAGGTCTCTTTACAGGACTGTTGCCTGTGTCTGTTTAGGATGTAAATACAAATTCAAGGCCATGCTTATATACAATACTCACTGGCTAACAAGTCAGTGTGAATCAATATCTCAGTTGCAGAAATTTGGAAGGAAAATATTCTGTGGATTTTGGTAATAGACAGGGTGGTACTTTGAAAAGCAGAAGGTACTGTTTTATAAGGGAAGCCACACTGGAGCCAAGAAAGAAGCTGGAAGCAGAGATGACACAAGGCAATGACAGAGCATCAGAGACCAACTTGAGTTAATTCACATTTTCGGCAGGGTCTGGGGATCTGAGGTTTACTTTGAAATTCATGCAGTTAGAATTAAATGAGCTGACTAATTTATTGAGCAACTATTGTGAGCCAGGTCCAGTTATGGTAATGGTATTTGAGTCACCCAACAATCTGGACAGGGAGATATTTCCTGTATTTTAAGATAAGAAAAGAGAGGCTCAGAGAGGTTTGCTCCTTTCCCAATGTTACACAGCCATTAACTTAAACCGCTTGTTCTTTCTAGTAATTTTATTTTATTTTTTTTGAGACCAGGTTTCCATAGGTAGCCTAGGCTGACTTCAGACTTTAATCCTTCTGCCCAGCCTCCTGAGTGCTGAGGTTATAGACATGACTTGAGTCATGCCTGACTCAAGTACATTTTTATATCTATCCATGAAGGCCTTTCATATAGAACCTTGAAGGTTCTAGTAGTTTACGTAGAAGTTTCTGAGTTGGAAGTCAATGCCAGAGTAGTGCGGGAAGTCTAAAATGACAGGATAGGAAGTGGGGAAACAGTGGCGCCTCAGGGACAGTCTGGATAACTCTGACAGTAGTTACAACCCTAGGAAGAAGGAGGAGTCCAGTCCTGAGCATCTTGTATAGGCATTGGCCTGGGAATGAGTGGCTGTCACATTGCTGAACAAGACACGGTGACTGACATGCAGCATGAGGTTCCCAGAGGGGAGAAGTAGGGAAGTAAGTCCCCCACCGTCCTCTGGTCCTCTGAACGGGTGCCAACTTACCGTCCATATAAATTAGGGAGCTTGTGAGACCTGTTTCCATTTTAATTGGAGTTGGCCCTTTGAGGTAACAGTCATCCAATCTTTTCAAATATTCTTTTCTTATGCCTTGCCAGTTTATGGCCTTTGTAGATCAATCCTTGGATTTCATGCAGGGGAAAAAGAGAGAGGGGAAAAAAAAAAAAGCAAAGGCTAGTGATTACCTAAATTGGATTAAGTTCTGTCTAGCAGCGTTTAAAGAAATACTGCTTGCTCTCTAATTACCATCAAGTAGGAATTTAAACGGTCTATTAAATTTAAGCTGACTTTTTTTTTTCAACTGCAATATTTTCAGCTGTAACATATTCTGGAATTTTAGAGCCTTTTGTGTGTATTCTTCAAATGTGTAGAGGACAGTCTCTGCCCCCCCACCCCCTTAAAGATATTGTGTTTCTATAGCAGACAATACATGACATCATTATATCTTGGCTTCATTAAATAGCAGAGCTCATGACCAGGTTCAGCTGGCTCTGGCAGCCTCTGGAGGGCCCACTTACCCAAGAATGATGGAACTCACCAGATCGCTCTTCCTCTTTGACTGTGGCCTATGGAGAGGTTTGGTAAAGAGCTACTACCGTCTAGCCAGTCCTAACTATTGGTAGAATTTACTTTTATGTATAATTCTGCTTCCCATAAAATTGTGTATGTACTCATGTTTCTCTTTCTGGGCTTTCATTCATCTTCTGTCTTCTCAATTTTGAGGTGTCAAGTAAGACTGTCTCACACACATGTGTACTCAGGTTCAATTTCGCTGGTTACCCAAAATCAGCAATCACCCCAGTTTCTCACTTCTCTGCTTGTTGCAGAACTTTTTCCAGCATTGATGGTTCTTTCTTGTTGGCACTGCTGAGTTCTGTGTTTTGTGGAGGGTACCTCTCACAGCAGATGGGTTTCTTGCAGGTACAAGGATTAAGGAAGGGACTGTGTTGGGCTCCTTCAGCCATTCAGGGAACTGTACTATCCATCCATTTCATTGGATCCTAGAAAAATAATAGCTAGCTGCAAGTTTTTGTTTTCTTCCCCAGGATTGGGGCAGAAGCCTTCCACTTGCTCTGCCCTGTGTTTGCATGAGCCTGACTAAGCTGCCTTACACCCTGTCACAACCTGCTAGCGACCTCAGCTGCGTAAGTCCTCAGGGCAAACCCTTCTCTGCTTGCCGTTTAATTCTAAATGCTCTTTGGAACAGATTCAGCATCATTCCCCAGATGTCTCTAAGGGAGACCACATGGTGTGCTGCCGTCATTTGGAGAACAGCTACATTTGGCTGCTGCTGGCCTCCCCCATGGTGAGGGCCCCCCATGGCTGTTTTCCTTGCAAAATATCTGGAGGCAAAATTAGTGGGTAAACATGGTAATCCTCTGTGGTGTTTGAGATAAATTTTTTTTTTTTTAATTCTTCACCAACAGGACAATAGATTCCTTTCAGGCCTCAAAAAAAAAAAAAACCCTAAAAAGCAAAAAAACCAAAAAAACACTGATGATCTCCCACCACCAACGACCAGTTTCAGTTTTTCAGAGAGACAGTTGTTGACTGAATGAGCCCACATTTTGATCCTAAGTGGCCCCTGGGGGATGACACAGGTTGGAGAATTGAGATCAGGAACCTGATGGTTTCGTTTTCCTTGGTTTTAGTTAGCCACAATCAACTATAGTTCGAAAAAATTAAATGGGAAATCCCAGAAATAAACAATTCATTAGTTTTAAATTGCACACACTTCTGAGCAGTGTAATGAAGTCTCATACTGTTCCATTCCATTCTGTTTGGGTGTCCTGTGTACCCACACTGTGTGTACTACCTGCCTGTTGGTCACCTAACAGCTGTCAAGGTTATCAGTTCTATGGTCGCTGTATTGCAATGCTCGTGTTCACACAAACCTTATTTTACTTACTAATGAGCCCTAAGTGCAAACTTATTACAGTTGCTCTGTTTTATTATTGTTAATGTCTTGCTTACTTAACAAATTAAACCTTATCATAGGTATGTAGACTTAGGAAAAAGCATAGAATAATAGGGTTTGCCACTACCCACAGCTTTGGTCATCCACTGGGGGTCCTGGACTGTAGCCCCAATGTGTGAGGACGACTATACTCTAATAAAAAGGTTATGGGGGCAGCCTGGAGTTCTCTTTGAGATTCTGGAAAAGTCCAAGTTTTAGACTTAAGTTCTGGTGCAATAGCTGAGGACCCCCAGGG